TGTATCATTAAAAACTGGTGAAGATTCTCAGTCATCCAGAAAATGGTAAATTCAAAAAATGTATCATTAAAAACTGGTGAAGATTCTCAGTCATCCAGAAAATGGTAAATTCAAAAAATGTTCAATTAAAAAAAACAAAGTATAATAAAAAATTCCAGTTTTTGTCTTGGAACTTTTTTGAATTTGTCATTTTAGCCACGTTGACCTATTACATGATACAACAGCATGCCATACAGCTACTGCTACTCTGCTGCCATCAAGTGGCTGAAAATGGTACTGCTCAATTTTTTTTCAGTCAGAATGAATGAAAACTCATATCTCCACCAAAAAATGGTTTATAAATATGGAAAAAATCTATAATTATGTCGCTTCGGCCTTTAAGTTGCAGGGCATGTAAATGATGCCCAAAACTGCGACTTATACTAAGAAAAATAGAGTAGTGGAAATACGTTAGAAGAAGCACAAAAATGTTGTAGTTAGCCGAAAGAAGCTGAAAGGAGCACAAAACAGCTGAAAGAAGCTGAAGCAGAACAAACTGTGAAAGGAGCCGTAAAATTTGTAAACAGATCTAAAGATTTTAAAGACGTAAAATGAGCTCAATTCATTTTCTGCGAGGAAAAAAAAAATGACAGAAAAGGCTAAATATTTAAAAAAGCTAAAGTTGCACCAATACCAAAAGTCACAGCAGGATTGTCCTGAAAGAGCCGAACGTTTTATGATTTGTTGAAACGGCTGAAAACTGCGGGACGAGAAAGATGCTGAAAAACGTACGTAATAGTCTTAAGATAACTGGAAGAATACGGAGTAATAATAAATATTAGCAGGAAAACAAGAGTGTGAAAGCGTCACAACGAACTCTGTAAGAAAACTGAAGTTTTGTCTTGGTTTCTGAGCTTCCTCGTCTCGTGTTTTCTCGTCAGAGGAGAAACTTTACATGGACCACGAGAGAATGCTTCGGACGGTGGACCTCTGCCTTCGTCTGGACCGTCCTCCTCTTCCTCGTCCCTTGTCCGTCCCCACGTCCGTCCTGGAACGGCTCACTCCCATCTGTCCGGCGGTCAACCCGTTGCTCTCGCCGACCCTGCAGCAGCTGGTGGCAGGTCGGACGAGCACAGAGCTGCAGGAAGCCGTGGTGGTGGAGAACTTCTACGTCCTGGGTAACCGTCCACGCCTGGACTCATCACTTCCTGTTTGAGTTGAAGATAAAACCTCACGGTTGCGTTGTTCGTGTGATTCTGTGATGTCAGCGGGCTCTCGTTTGTTTGCTCTCAGACGGCGTTCTAACTGAAGCGCCGTCAAACCAGACCTGCAGCTCTGCAGAGGAACCAGCAGAGGGCGCTCAGAGGTAACAACCTGCTGCTCATCCGTTCATTCTTTATTATTTTGTCCTAAAATATTCTTCATTTCTTACATTTATTTGTGATCTCTATAATCATATTCCAAAATAATCAGAAACTGATACATTTAAACACCGATGGTTAAGTGTTTGATGATTTCTGCAGCGTAACGTCTCCAAACTGGACCTTGTTGTGACTTTTTAACAAATAAAAACTAAATTAACAAATAAAATTAGGCCTTCTCCGGTGGTGGGAGATGCTCGGAAACAGCAGGAAGTTGCACCAAATTTAAAACACTTTTTCTTTCCCAGAGGGATTAAACCATTTTTAATAAAAATCTGTTTTATGAACTTTTATGCATTAAAGTCTGTCTGATGATGATTTTTTCATAAAATGTGTTTTTTTTATTTTATTTGTGAGATATTTCTTTAATAAATGCTTTTGTTTCAGCATTCGATTATCTCTTTTGGGGAAATTAAAGTATTAATGAAGCAAAGATGTTATAATAACACCACCACCGTAAAAAGTGGCTAAATCATTAAACTACATTTTCCTACATTAAACCTTTTCAAAATAAAACTAATTACATCCTAAAGGTTTTGTTAGGTCAGTAATATATGTATTTTTTTAAGTTTACTGTTTTTGTTTGTAAAAACGTTTTTGATTTATAAAAACCTCCACTGATTTTTAACAGTTTAATATTATATTTATTTAAAACTCGAGTCCCTTCATGCTTTTATTCTTGTACTTTTAACATTTCTGCTGCTCTGCATTTTTACTTGTCTAAATAAAGATATTTAACATTAGTTGATTTTCGAAAAAAACTTTTTAAAATCCGTTTAAAACAGCCGTGCAGTCGATTTGTTCAAGCTAATATTTTGACAGAAAAGACAAAACTTTGCATTTTACAGAAACCAAAGTGCATTTCAATAAAAGAGTAAATACAGAACGACAACTTAAACCCTGACATACGAATAAAAAGCTACAGGAGTCATTTCTGATGAACAAAACAAAAACAAAATATTAACTAGAGAATTGTATTTTCCTGTGAAAATGCCGTGTGAATGCTTATTGCAGAAGAACTTGCTGAAAAGCAGCTGAAATGTAGCTAAAAACATTCTGAAATGTAAGAACAAGCATAAGCTAGCAGAAAAAGAGCAGAAAGAATACATATTCACTGAATTAGGTTTAAACAAGCAGAAATGAGCACAAAAATCAGCTAAAAAAAGCACAAATTAGCTATTTAAAGAAAAAGCTAAAAAGGCAGAAGGAAGCAGAAAGAGCTGAAATGAGCTAAAAAGTGTGGGATTAACTGAAAAAGCTAAAATTTGTATAAAACGGCTAAATAGCTGAAATAGCAAAAATAGCTGAAACTAGCATAATTGTGCTGAAAGGAGCATGACGAGCTGAAATTAGCAAAAGAAGTTAATTAGGCTCAAAGTAGCAGAAATTACCTTGAAATACTTGAATTTATCTGAAAACAGCTGAAATTGGCTAAAAAATGCTAAAAAAAATTAATGGCTGAACAGCTGAAAGGCAGAAATAAGTTTAAACTACCAGAAGGAAGCATAAAGAGCTGGAATGAGCTAAAAAAAAAAAAAAATGGAATTAACTGAAAAAGTTAAAATTGGCATAAGAAGCTAAATAGTAGCTGAAATAGCAGAAAAGGCTGAAACTAGCATAATTAATCTGAAAAGACTATAACAAGCTGAACATATCAAAGAAGTTAATTAGGCTCAAAGTAGCAGAAATTACCATGAAAAACTTGAATTTATCTGAAAACAGCTGAAGTTGGCTGAAAAAATGCTATTAAAAAGTAGCTGTAAAGGTAGAACAAGCTTAAATTAGCAGAAGAAAGCAGAAATAAAACAGTTTGCCCTGGCTCAAAGAAATAAAAATGATCTGGAAAAAACTGAAAATTACCAAAAACAGCTGAAAAGTACAGTAGCTAAAAAAGGCAGAAAGAAGCTTAAATTACAAGAAGGAAGGAATAGTAGCTGAAATAACAGAAAAACCTGAAACTTGCATTAATAACCTGAAAGCATAGCAAGCTGAAATTAGCAGAAAGAAGCTAAAAGAAGCACAAAACGGCTGAAATTAGCTGAAAAAATGTGTAAATTTGCAGAAGGAAGCTGAAAGAAGCTGAAGCAGAACAACATACAAATAAAACGCATTCGGGACGTGTTTTACTTCATTTCCTTTCCTGTGATGATACAGCCGCACTCTTCAGTTTGTGTTCCTCACTTCAGCTCATCTGGTTTTGAAGCTGACAAATGATTTTTCTTGATTTTTCTAGAGTCGCTGTAATTTTCGCCCCGAACTCAAACGTTTGTTTCGGCTCGTCAAACCCTCGTGGTATTCTCGCTACCAAGCTCCGTCACCTGAAGGCTCTGGGCTACACCCCCGTCCTGGTAACCGTTCGATTGTTCAACATTTCAGCTGTGAAACTTGTTGAATAAGACGCCTTCTGTTTCATAATCCGTAAAATTTTCAGTTAGAAAATCCTTGATTTATATATTTTAATCCACTCGTACTTGTGACGTTATTGCAGTCCTGCTTTGATATTTATTGCAATTATGTGGTTGCTAAAAGATTTTAAATTGTATTTGTTGTGATGTCTGACTAACGTCAGGTTACGTTCTTATTATTCTTATAGCGTGGAGTTGATGTGACCTCCGTAACGTTTGTGTTTCAGGTAATGGAGCAGGATTTAAAGTGCAACGCCACAGAGAAGATGGATGTCCTCAGACGACTGATTTTTCCAGAACAAACGTCAGAAGCAACATAAAGTGGAACATCTGGACCCTTAAGACAGCGAGACTTGAATTTAGTGAACAGATGTGTATTTCTAATAAAGTACTAAAATAAATCCTACCCGAGGGATTTTCTTTTGTTTAAAACCAATTGGTTTCAACATAAAACGTCAAATCTTATGTTCAATGTATTTTATTTCCAAAACTAGTTTCAACAACTTGATCTAACCCGTTAAAACGTGAGAGCCAAACAGAAACTAAATTAAATTTCCTGTGAAAATGCAGTGTGAATGCTTATTGCTGAAGAACCTGCTGAAAAACAGCTGCAATTAGCTAAAAATGCTGTTGAAAAGGTAGAACAAGCCTAAATTATCACAATAAAGAATATTTGCTGAATTAGGTTTAAATGAGCAGAAATGGCACAAAAAATAGAAAATTAGCAACAAAAAGGGCTGAAATTAGGAAAAAAAAGTAGCTGAAAAAGCAGAAAGAAACAAACTACCAGAAGGAAGCGGAAAAAACAAATGAGCTCAATAATGTGGCATTAGCTGAAAAGGCTAAAATTAGCATCAAAAGCTAAATCGCTGAAATAGCAGAAAAAAGCTGAAAGGAGCATAGAGAGGTTTATTTTCAGATATTAAATGGGACTTGTGTGTGCATATATGTATATATATATTTATAGGGATTCTGTGTGTTCAAATGTGTACATGTATGTATGGATGCACAGATTCATATTGGTGTTGATGCTGATACATCCTGTGCAGTCTGCAATGGTTTTGACATGTCTGGAATTAATCAATAAAATAATAAAAATTGGCCTGAAAGTAGCAAAAATTAACATGGAAAATTCAAATTCATAAGAAAACTGCTGACATTAGCCAAAAGGGTAGCTAAAAAGTTAGAACAAGCATAAATTGGCAGAAGAAAGCAGAAATAATGTTTGTCCCTTTAGACTGAAAGCAGCGGAAATGAGCACAAAAGTGGGAATTAACTGAAAAAAGCTGAAACTAGCTAGCAAAAAAAAAACTGCTGAAAAGTAGCTAAAAATGTAGAAAGAAAGAAGCTTAAATTACCAGAATGGAGAGAGCACATTTTTGCTGAATTAGGCTGAAAAAAGTTTAAATGAGTGCACAAATTGTGGAATTACAAACCGGATTCCAAAAAAGTTGGGACACTAAACAAATTGAATAAAAACTGAACGCAATGATGCGGAGGTGCCAACATCTAATATTTTATTCAGAATAGAACACAAATCACAGATCAAAAGATTAAACTGAGAGAATGTATCATTTTAACGGAAAAATCTGTTGTTTCCAAATTTCATGGTGTCAACAAATCCCCAAAAAGTTGGGACAAGTCCATTTTTACCACTGTGTGGCATCCCCCCTTCTTCTTACAACACTCAACAGACGTCTGGGGACAGAGGAGACCAGTTTCTCCAGTTTAGAAATAGGAATGCTCTCCCATTCATGTCTAATACAGGCCTCTAACTGTTCAATCGTCTTGGGCCTTCTTTGTCACACCTTCCTCTTTATGATGCACCAAATGTTCTCTATAGGTGAAAGATCTGGACTGCAGGCTGGCCATTTCAGTACCTGGATCCTTCTCCTACGTAGCCATGATGTTGTGATTGCTGCAGAATGTGGTCTGGCATTATCGTGTTGAAAAATGCAGGGTCTTCCCTGAAAGAGATGACGTCTAGATGGGAGCATATGTTGTTCTAGAACCTGAACATAGTTCTCTGCATTAATGGTGCCTTTCCAGACATGCAAGCTGCCCATGCCACAAGCGCTCATGCAACCCCATACCATCAGTGATGCAGGCTTCTGAACGGAGCGTTGATAACAACTTGGGCTATCCTTGTCCTCTCTGGTCCGGATGACATGGCGTTCCAGTGTTCCATAAAGAACTTCAAATCGTGACTCATCTGACCACAGAACAGTCTTCCATTTTGCCACACTCCATTTTAAATGACCCCTGGCCCAGTGCAAACGTCTGAGCTTGTGGAGCTTGCTTAGAAATGGCTTCCTCTTTGCACTGTAGAGTTTCAGCTGGCAACGGCGGATGGCACGGTGGATTGTGTTCACTGACGATGCTTTCTGGAAGTATTCCTGAGCCCATTCTGTTATTTCCTTGACAGTGGCATTTTTGTTTGAGGTGCAGTGACGTTTAAGGGCCCGGAGATCACGAGCATCCAGTAGAGTTTTACGGCCTTGACCCTTACGCACAGCGATTGTTCCAGATTCTCTGAATCTTTTGATGATGTTATGCACGGTTGATGATGATAACTTAAAAGTCTTTGCTATTTTACGCTGGGTAACACCATTCTGGTATTGCTGCACTATCTTTCTGCGCAACAATGGTGCAATTGGTGATCCTCTTACCATCTTGGCTTCTGAGAGACACTGACACTCTGAGAAGCTCTTTTTATACCCAATCATGTTGTCAATTGATCTAATTAGTGTTAATTGGTCTTCCAGCTGTTCGTTATATGCTCAATTTCCTTTTTCCAGTCACTTATTGCTACTTGTCCCAACTTTTTTGGAATCCGGTTTGTAGTTGAAAAAGCTAAAATCAGCATAACACAGCTAAATAGAAGCAGAAATGGCTGAAACTAGCTGAAAAGTGCATAAACTGAAATTAGCCGAAAGAAGTTAGAAGAAGCACAAGATTGTGTAGTTAGCAGAAAAAAGTTGAAAGGAGCACAAAAACAGCTGAAATTTGCTAAAAGTAGCTAAAAAGAGTTTAAATTTGCAGAAGGAAACTGAAGCAGAAGAAATTCTATGAGAAAAAAAATGGCAGAAAATGCTAAATATTTCAAAAAGCTAAAGTTGCGCCAATATCAAAAGCCATACCAGGATTGTCCTGAACAAGCCGAACATTTTGATTCGTGATTTGTTGAAATAGCTTAAAACTGCGGGACGAGAATCGCGCCAAAAAAAACGTATGGAAGAAAAATGGATCACAACAGAGTGAATGTATCATTAGCATTCACACAATGAGTCGTGCTCGTATTATGTTAAAGCGGGGAAATATCTGCCGAATTCTCAAATTGCTCAAAAGACCAAACAGAAACGGTATGCCGATCTCGTCGGTGCTTGTGGTAACTGCGAGAAGCGCCGTGCTACTAAATGAAACCGATCAAACCAGCATGAGCGCCTTGCACCTACTGCACAGAAACTGCAAGGTGAGCGTGGTACAGGTGGAGCGCCTTTGAAGCTGCGATATCTGCCGAGAACAGCAAGTAGGAAAGAAGAAAGGAGACAGGAAACGGTGCAGCTTGGTATTTCTCAGCCTTTGCAGCTCCTTGTGTTTCTGCTATAGTCATCAACCTCAGACGTGTTTGCTCTCTTAGAAGCAAGAGCCAAACTTACAAGAGAGCACCTTGAGTTTGAGCAGAAGTTCCTTGGAGGACGTCTTTTTATTTAAAGTTGTGGTCACTGTTGCTCCACACGGTGGTGCACTGATTTACAAACTGGAGGAACCCTTTCAATGTGGTTAAATCCCCTCATTCAGACACCGCCTGCTGTTTCGACCACAAAGCAAGGGGTTCCCAACTACACAGTAACTGTGACAAATCTCAAACAGGAAGTGAGACAAAACTGAAACTTTTTTCTCTCTCCTGTACATACAATAGTTTGACACCCATGAGAAACAAGTGCTGTTTTAGCCGTAGAGTCAAAAAACTACAGTAAAGTCGTAGTCCGTAACCGTTACAGAAAGATGGCATGGAGGAAGGTCCAGTTGGTGACGAAGATTCAGAAGTATCTTGGTATGGGAGTCTGAACCCCTTTTTTCTTCTTGCGCTTCCGTGGTGCTTTGGGTTTGGTGTTCATGTAGTCGTTCTGGTTTTCTGCCCCTTTCGACTTGAACTGCAAAACAAATGAAGACCATTGGTCAACAGCCTTTTACCTTTTGTTCCGAACATATTAAAGTAGTTGGTGTGGAGTGGAGATGGAGCCATGGTCCTCGCTTCAAGGACCACAGAAAGCTGAAGTGAAGCTCTTGTTTTAAAAGTTGATCCCAACATGTTTTAGACCATAAAGATTCGGGCCACATTAGTAACGCTGTGTTGTTAATTATATTTGATTAAAAAGTAGTGGTGTCCTGTTACAAACACTGGTACCCAACAGATACAATACAGATACTGGTACCCAACCAATACTTTACCGATACTGACACCAACTAATACTTTTATCAACACTGGTACCCCTATGATACTTTACGTATAATGGCACTTAACAGTTACATTACAGATACTGGTGCCCAACAGATACAATACAGATACTGGTACCTAACCAATACTTTACCAATACTGAAACCCAACCAATACTTTTATCAACACTGGTCCCCAACTGATACTTTACCTATACTGGCACCTAACAGATATAATACAGATATTGGTACCTAAAAATACAGATACTGGTACCCAACCAATACTTTACTGATACTGACACCAAACCGATACTTTTATCAACACTGGTACCCAACTGATACTTTACCTGTACTGGCACCCAATAGATACAATACAAATACCACCCAACCGATACTTTACCAATACAAGTACCCGACCAATACATTACCGGTGTTGTTACCCGACCAATATGATACTGTTGCTGGCTGCCAACCTATACATATTGGTACTGGTATCCAACAGATAAGACACAGATACTGGCACTCAATCGATGCTTTACTGATACTAGTACTCAATCAAAACATTACTGATGCTGGTACCTGGCCCATGCATTGCAGATACTGGTACCCAACAGATACGATAGTGGTACTGGTACCCAATCAATACTTTGCTGATAGTGGTACCTGGT